GAAGTCTTCTGAGCTCCTAGGCTCCAGTCACCCCCACCACCTCCTTTTGTTCCACAAGCCTTGGGGAACAGCGGCTTCTCTAAGGTCATCCTCCGTGTTACTCCTCCACGGTCCCCGCTTACACTTCAACACGTTCAAACGAGATATTATATTGGCTTCTTTGGATTATTAGTGTAGTTTTGTTTTATGACCACTCCTGACTAATACAATTAAATTAGATGGATGGACAGCATAGAGATTCTATATGGGTAACAGGTGGAGAGGTCACTGAAAACCAGAAGATAATGGATAGACGGTGATGATGGAAAGATAGATAGATAGATAGATAGATAGATAGATAGATAGATAGACAGACAGACAGACAGACAGATAGATAGATAGAAAGAAAAGGCATCATTCCACATCATGGAGAAATAATTTATTCAATCAACCACCTAGGACACCTAGGTCATACAGATTAAAAACTAATCCAGATTAATTAAATATTTAAACATAAAATTTCATAAAAGCTATAATTTGTTATATTCTCATAGCATGAAAGTGTATTTCAGGGGCCAGAGAGAGCTCAGTAGAATAGGCGCTTGCCTGGCAAGCACAAGGGCCTGAGTTCCATCCCTGATTCCACCAAAAAGAAAAAAAAAAGTCTATTTCAATATCTGGAACACAAGCTTTGTTACAAGAAAATATTAATTGGCTTACTGTATACATCTATAATATTCCACAGAAGAGAAAAGTACTCTAAGTAAAAGACTGACCAACAATCACAGCAACATAGCTGCTACTTCTGTCCACAGGGCTGGCTTCAAGTGGCCTCCTCCTTCCTTGGCCTCTGGTGCAGGTGCTGTGTGGCAATGACCACAAACACAGAGTGGAGCAGGCCCATGCACATCACCAGCCAAGAAGCCAAGGCGGGCAAGAAGGCCAAGTGGGTCAAGCAGGCCTTCCAAAGTATAGCTCGCCCTGAGGCCCCATACCCTCAGGGCTTCGCCACCTTCTGAGATTACCATTCTGGTGACCAAGCTGTTAACACACAGACTTTAGGGAGACATTTAGTACCCAGACTATAGTCCCTGATTAAAAATTATCAAAGAACATGCACACAGTCTCCAAGAAAGCCAACAGCTGTGGTACATAAACATAAGTAGATGACTGATCTCACATGGGTTGGGCCTAGAAAGCCCCTCAAAGACTTTGTCACCAGCCCATTGCACCACGGGAGGTGATGGAAACTTTGGGCCTGGGCCTTATTAGTGGGGAGGTCACTGGGGCATCCCCTTGAGGGACTCCAGGCACCTGGCCCCTTCCTGTCTCGCTGTTTTTTCTGGCTGCCACGAAGGAAGCGCTTTCCTCCGCCATATGCTCCGGCTCGAAGGATCAGC